GACGTTCGGGTCGCGGAAGAGAGCTTGGTGGGCATGATTGCTTGAATCGTGGGTAAGTCAGGGCATTCGAGATGGCGGAAAACTGTAACACTGCGTGGGAGAGTGTGTGTGTGTATCGAAAGCGAAGCATAGTCCGAGTCTCGGGAGTCGGTGAGAGGTCGATTGTCCGCTGCGGTAGGGCGTAAATACGCGAGTGTATTCGAATCGAAGCGTTGCCTGAGTCTTGGGAGTCGGCGAGAGGTCGACTATCCGTTGCGGTAGGACGTAATGCGTGTGTGTATTCGAAGTGAAGTGTTGTCCGAGTCTCGGCAGTCGGCGAGGGGCCGGCTGACCGTTGCGGTAGGACGTCGTAGAGTTCGTTTGTGTGTGTGAGTGTCTGCAGCGTTGTCTGGGACTCGGCAAACCAGCTGATGAAGCCACCGGTAGGACACCCTGCAGACCAAGAGAGGATGCGTGGTGTATGTCCTCGTCATCGGGTTGGTGCGTGAGGTAGCTCGTGATCGAAGGCGTGTCGTTGTAGCCAAGTGCTCTCGTGACCGACCGGGTTGTCGTAACCTCAAAGCGAGCCATTCTCTAGGTCGAGTGCGAGAACTGTGGGTGTGCATGTGCGTGTAGTTGTAGGTAGGTGTTCGAATGCGGGGTATAAGAGCAAAGATGTGTGTGTGTGTATTGCGAATTGCGAGTTAGCGCCGAAGGTAGCGTCGATTTTCTAGAAGTGTTCATCTCTTGTAAATAAAATAAAGAGTAGTGTAAAAGTGAAATTCGTGTTAGTGTGTTTATTTGTACGAGTGTGAAATATTCACATCATGATCATTTCCCGCGGGAACTATTCGCCTCCCGACGGACAGTCCACGGTGGGGCCTCCTCTAGGTAAGGAGTCTACATCGAGAGAGCAGAGCTGAGCCAAGCCAAGGCGTTCGAGAGAGTATTGGGTCGCAGAGTTTTGTTGTTTTAGGTGTCGTACGTGATATGATGTGTTTTAGTGCGTTGTATCGGAACGGCTTCACGTCAACGTGAAAACGTCGATTTGGGGCCGAAAATGCAACGTTACATACTGTAGACTGAAAAAACTTATTACGGTTGTTGTAGTTACATTATTGTTAAAATGAGGGCTTGTCATGGATCATTTTTCGTAAGAGGCTGTGCATTTTTTTTAGTCAGTATCGACATCGACATGCTTTTCCCCTGCAGGTGGCGTTAATTTAAATTATTGCACAAATCAAATAACCTTAGTAGTGTATTGGCTTCGTGCAGTAATTTAAAACAATGTCATCTACATTTTCATGAAATTAAAAAACAAAGTATTATTTGCTATTAATAAGCTACTTAACTGCTTGTATTTGAGCATATTGAGTGTGGTTGCTTTTAACCGAACAAGCACGTGACTGCAAGGCTGGAGCAGAGGAAGCCAAAATTGACCGTCCTACTAAAAAACAGATATGTAATGACATATGTCATTTCACGTGTAAATACTTTTATAATGCCGCATGTAACTCTACTTGGAATTGTATACGGTAGTACACATAAGACATTTAAAGTGTATTGACATCTTATTAGAAATAGAATTACAAGTCACGATTAATATGGATTGTCTTTAAGGGAAAATAGTTGAAAATTAGTATTTTATGCAGTGAGATAAATTTCAGCATCCTTACCATCTGTATTGTAACAATAGAGAGACTTAAGTGTTCTTCTTTAAATTTTGGGGAAAAGAATTTACCATTTTTGTACATTTTCTACAAACCATTTTAGGTGGTTCTTTCACGCCTCTCGAGTCTAAAGTGCAACTATTAAGTTGATATTTATTAATGCTGCTTAAATTTCAAACGACGATTTGTAAATATTGTTTATTAAGTCAAATTAAGTACTGATTCAAAATTTTGGATCATGATATCTGTTCAATATTAAGGTCCTAAGATTTAAGTTTACGCGTTTGATTAAATCTACCAATCAGCCACACTAGTACGCCAAGCTTCCAAACAACCAATCGCAATGCACCGCGTCTCTTTAGTTAGTCAATAGCTTTGTAAAGTAAGCAGCGGCTTGCTCTTTAGATGTAGCTGCGCGATGTAATAGCCAGTTTGTACTCGGTCGCACCTTTGCATGAGCACACACATACGCCTCTTTTCAAAGTTTTACACGCGCACTTTAACGATCAATTTACTGCCGTTCTTTATAACTCGATTACTTCTATTACTTTTCGTTTCGATTATTCCGAATCTTTACCTCAGAATAGTAAAGTGTTTGTATCAATATTATTAATTTGGTGTTTCTATTCAATAAATACGTTTAAGAGTGTTAAATATAAATCAGTCTTATTTACTTAACATAGAAACACACTCCTACTCCGATATTCAACATTTTTGGCGCTCGAACAGGGAAGAATCGAGTAGTAAAGTAAGTAGTGTGCCACGTGGTGTAACAGTCGAGTACGTTTAGTATCACCGCCAAGTCGCTCTGTCCACCATATTGGAAGTCTCAACGACCATGCGAATGGCAAGGCGACTTCGAGGTCGTCTTGTTGAAGTGTGTGCTCATTAGAAAGTAAAGTGTATAGTGTCGTTACGCACCATTAATAGCCCGCGGCACGCGCAACAGCCTTTAGCAATTGTGACAACACCTCCAATTTTAGTGTTTGCTATAAGTTTAATACGCTGGTTCACTTTACTTTTCGTAAGTGATGTACTCATACGTACACACACATGTAGAGCGCGGCTCTCTCATAGCCATTACATCCGCCATCTTTTGATCGATGATTCTCCTTAGTTTACGTTGGTGTTGTACTCACATGTACACACACACATGGAGCGCAGCTCTCTCACAGTCTGTATATCAGCCATTTTGTGACTTAGTTCTTTCTTTCTAGTACGTCATTTCTTTGCCTACAGTGAAGTAATAGCTCATCATTGCTACAATTGCTGCAGGCAGGTCAATTGCTGTTCCACCAGCTTATCAGTCCTACCATCCAGTCTACGTAGCCTGCTTGAGCTGCAGGCCCTCTACACCTTTAGCAGGCCATCCACGCCTGCTCCACCAGCCAGTCTACGTAGCTTGCTTGAGCTGCAGGCCCTCTACACCTGTAGCAGGCTGTTCATGCCTGATCCAGCTGCTGTCTACATCGGTGCTTGCTAGTACAGCAAGCCATTCTCGACGCACGCTCTTGCAGTTTTTCTGCGGGCCACTTATGTCTGCTGCCGGAGCTGCAGTATAGAATTCTTGTGCTAGTAGAGACTTTAAGTTTTAGATTAAGATCTTAGTTTTATTTTTAAATTTCTCATTCGAAAATTAGTGTGCCGTTTACGAATATGGAAGATCTTTATGCCGCACAGACTAAATTGCACAAAAGAATTAGCAATTGCTTTGAAAACTTTAAGAAATCAGGTAGTGAAAGGATTTCTCGTGGTAGAGCAGAAGCTATGGTACAGGCTTTGGAAGACTATTTAGAAAGACTTCGTAAAAATTATTAAGACATTCTTTCACTTACTGATTTAGGTTATAAGCATTTATATTTTACTAGTGAACTTTTTGATATGACTGAGGACATGTACTATTTAGTAAAGGGAGATTTTGCCGAGTACATTAGATGTCTCCCTTTTGAAAACCCCCCGCCCACTCCGAACCCAAATCCCACTTTGGTAGTTCCACCCATTAGTAATTCTTACCTCTCAAGAATCGAACTTCCTAAGTTTAATGGTAAATATTCTGATTGGGAGAATTTTCGGGATACCTTTAGGTCTTTAGTGCATCGGAAGGCAGATATCGATAATATTATTAAATTCCATCAATTACGTACTCATTTAAGTGGCGAGACTTTAGACTTAATCAAATCTATTCGTTTAGCAGAAGATCAATACCCTACAGCTTGGCAAACTCTCATCGAATATTATAATAGTCATCGTCGTATAGTTAATAGCTATTTGTCTAGCATTATGAATTGTAAGGCTATAAAATCTGAGTCTGGTACCAAGCTTAAACGGATTTATAAAGAAATGCTGAATCCTATGGACTCACTTTAAGCTATGGGTCGTGACTTCGGAAGTAGCGATCTTTATATTGCTACAGTAGTTAGTAGGTTTGATGCTTCAACGAATAAAGATTGGCAAAAGTTTCTCGGTAGCGAGTCCCAACCTCCTACTCTAACTTAATTAAAGCAGTTCCTAAATTCTCAAATCATAACATTAGAGGCTTGTGAGAATTTATCAATTAAACGTCAACTTAGCAAAGTTAGTAGTAAATTAGCTATTGTAGCTTCTCATCAGTCAAACCTCGATAGTGAATTAGTAGCTAGCAATGTTACTTCGCAAAGCCCTTAAAAGTGTGTAGCTTGTCAAGGAGATCATTCTCTTGGTAAGTGTGAGTCATTCAAGACCTTTTCACTAGATTCTAGAAGATATTTAGTTAGTCGACAACGGTTGTGTTTTAACTGTCTGGGTAATCATTTGATTAAAAATTGCAAATCCAAGGGCACTTGCTTAACCTGTAAAAGGAAACATCACACACTGTTGCATATTTCCAAACCCCAGCAGGTTGAATCTTCTGAGGCTTCTCAAGTCATTGATTCTCATGCACTTTCGTCTCAACATTGTGAAGTACCTCAAGTCGTCCATCATAGTAAAGATTCTCTCTCTAGAGGTATTGGTGTACTATTGGCCACTGTTCGTCTCTGTGTCCTGGGCCCCACAGGTATTAGATTGATGGTAAGGGCTTTGGTGGATCAATGCTCCCAGTGTTCAATCGTTTCTGATGCTCTATGTACATTGTTAAAACTTAAACGTCAATTTTCAAATATCCCAATTAATGGTTCTGGTGGTACTTTAGTTGGTATAGCTAAGAGTGTAGTTGAATTTACTATTTCGCCTAGGTTTCCTTTGGAGTTTAAGCTGTCCGTCACTGCTAAAGTATTATCTCGGGTTTCTTCATATCGGCCATCTGTTAATCGTTGTGTTTCAAGTTTTAGCCGTTTGGAAGGTTTAGAATTAGCGGATCCTTGTTACACAAGTATGGATCATATTGATATCATACTTGGAGCTGATGTGCATACTCAAATAGTCGAAGGGTCAGTCAGGAAGGGCAAACTTAATAAGCCTATTACTACTCGTACTTTATTAGGGTGAAGTCTCTCAGGTTCTATGGGCTTCGAGGAAGCAACTAGTGGTAGTGCAGTTTCTTTGCATTGCGCTGTAGAGGATTAACTTATTCCCTTGTTGAAGCGTTTTTGGGAAATAGAGGAACTCCCTGCTGATCCAAATTCTCTTTGGACAGGGGATGAAAGAGCTTGTGAACAACATTTTATTGACACCTATTACAGAGATAGCTCTGGTAGATATGTAGTTAGACTTCCATTTAAGACTTATTCGAAACCATTAGTTAAAGAACGTGATGTCGCTAAAACTCTGTCTATCACTATGCAGAAAAATTTAGAGCATAGATTTCATAATAACTGAGTATTGTTTGATGCTTATAGTTTGTTCATGCGTGAGTATATCAATCCTAATCACATGGTGAAGTTAAAACTCGATGAGACCAATGATTGTTGGTTCTTACCCCACCATGGAGTAATTCAACTTGCAAGTACAACTACGAAACTCCGTACCGTGTTTAATAGTTCAGCTAAATTCAAAGCGGGCATCTCTCCGAATGATTTACTCTATGTTGGGCCCAATTTGTTGTGTAATCTTTTTGATCTTATCACTTCTTGGAGATATTACAAGTTTGTTTTTTCGTCTGATATAGAAAAGATGTTTCGTCAGGTTTGTGTAGATAAGATTGATCAGAAACATCAGTGTATCTTTTGGCGCTTCTCTAGTTTAGAACCGGTTTTAGCTTATCAATTGAAAACCACGACTTATGGCCTAGCGTGTTCTCCGTATCTAGTTTGTAGAGTGATCAAGCAGTTGGCTAGTGATTACGAAATTGAGTTCCCTTTAACTTATCCCATTTTGATGAAATAAATTTATATGGACGATGTTTTGTCAGGAGCTCATAGATTAAGTGACGCAGTTGAGAAACGAGATCAGCTCTTAAAGGTTATGTCATTGGGTGGTTTTTCCCTTAGGAAGTGGTCTTCGAATGATCCAGACGTTTTGGCTGGTTTGCCCAGTACACTTTTAAAATCTTCGCCCATTATTCCATTGAATGAAGGTGATTCTTCGGTAGAAGTGCTCGGCATTGTCTGGTATCCTAAAGAAGATGTTTTTAGTTTTCAAGTTAAATTTCCTTTAGTACCGACATCATGGACCAAAAGAGCTGTACTCTCCCATATAGCTAGATTATACGACCCACTTGGTTGGTTAGGACCTGTCGTTATTTTTGCTAAAATTTTAATGCAATCTCTGTGGCTTCTTAAATTAGAATGGGATTCGTTGATACCAGAGAATTTATTGTCAGACTGGCTTCGTTGGTTTCAAGAAATCCAATTATTGAATCAAATTATAATTCCTCTTTGGACTCAATTTTCACCAGTTGTTCAAGCTATAGAGCTGCATGGTTATGCTGATGCTTCTAAACTAGCCTATGCAGCTGTTTTATATCTGCGTGTTGTTGCTAATCAAGAAGTTTATGTTTCACTTTTATCGGCTAAAACGAAAGTAGCCCCTCTTAAAATATTAAGCGTTCCGAAGCTCGAAGTTTGTGCTGCCCAATTGTTATCAAAGTTAGTACACCATTACAGTTAAAGTTAGGACCACAGAGTAGATGCAGTCCATGTGTGGTCTGATTCAAAGAACGTGTTGTATTGGTTCAGTTCTCAGCCGTCTCGTTGGCCTACTTTCGTAGCTAATTGTTGCAGTAATATCATGCAGTTAGTTCCTACAGCTACGTGGCACCATGTTTCAGGTAAGAGCAATCCTGCTGACATAGCCTCTAGAGGCGTTTGTCCTGCTCAGTTACTGGAGCATTCGTTGTGATTCCAAGGACCTCTTGAGATTCATCAGCTATCCACAGAGTACCCTGTTTTTATTTCAAATAAAAATTATGAAGTTTCTAGCGAAGTTTCTGATGCTGTCTCTCATCATCAAAGTGCTAAACCTAAAACTTGGGATCTTTATTATCGATATTCAACTCTAGAAAAGCTTTTCGCGTCTCTTTAGTTAGTCAATAGCTTTGTAAAGTAAGCAGCGGCTTGCTCTTTAGATGTAGCTGCGCGATGTAATAGCCAGTTTGTACTCGGTCAGCAAGGTGCACGCACCTTTGCATGAGCACACACATACGCCTCTTTTCAAAGTTTTACACGCGCACTTTAACGATCAATTTACTGCCGTTCTTTATAACTCGATTACTTCTATTACTTTTCGTTTCGATTATTCCGAATCTTTACCTCAGAATAGTAAAGTGTTTGTATCAATATTATTAATTTGGTGTTTCTATTCAATAAATACGTTTAAGAGTGTTAAATATTAATCAGTCTTATTTACTTAACATAGAAACACACTCCTGCTTCGATATTCAACAATATCCGATATAACAGTTTGTAGAAATTATTATGTAAAATTTACACTCAAAATACCAGCAGTAATTACTTTCCTATGCTTTCAACATAGAAAACAAAAGTATACGCCTGTATTTGTTTTGATTTCTTTTGATTAACTCTGTGAACATATTTATTTCAAAATGGCAGTATGTTTCGTATTATGTAAGATTTATTGTGCTAGTTTTTTACTGAATTATGTTCAGTAAATAAATAGCTAAGCTACAACTTTCAGTAAGGAAATTCTTAGTTACTATTCGAATACATGCTTGGAATTTACTTTTTACTCACCATTTTCTTGCGTCTATATTTGTCAGCCTACTCTCAAATTCTTAGGGGTTGGGTATTGTAACTTGATAAATGATTCTTCAAGGCTTCATGTTGATCTGTTCATAATTATTTCATGAAAGATGCACCTTGAACACTCATGTTTTGGTGTTATTATATGAATGATGACGCCCGTAACGGCCATTACACTACTTAAAATTATGATTTTTCTTATTAAGAAAATGCGTATGAACCTTTACTTGTAATTCCACTTGTTATTACATATTCCCCTTACCTTTTAACAATAATAGAAGGTCAGGTAAGTTCGATGTTTTCAATTGATATTTCTTTAATGCCTCCGGCTGAACAACTCTTTTTTCTCTGCTTTCAGAAAATAATGCGTCACATTCCACTTGAGTAACAAAAACTGCATTCACTGCTGGCAGGAGTGAAGCCTTCGGCTGAGAAGGAAAGTACTGTATCGTATTACAACGGAGTTACTGACGTGTGTTGTGCTTGAAAAAATATAATCTGGAGTCAAATTTAGGAAAAACATGTTCAAGTTGTCATAGTTTGGTTCTGTGTAAATGTGGTGTATGTTATTCTGTAGTGATGGATCAGTGTACTTACATGTGAGTAGCATTGAGTGCTGTCGCTGGCTGGGTATACAACAGTACTGCGAGTCTAACCTTTCCAAATTTTTCCAGTGCTTTTTCGATGAGATGAGTACCCAAGATGTTGAAAAATCCCATCTTCGATTTTTAAAAACGGATAGTGCACTTGTTTTGTTGATGTCTGAACCTCCAGGAGCTTCCCTTTCGAAGGAAAGCCAACACCTGGCCAGCTCATCGGATGAAAAGTTATAAAGAGGTATCGATTCAGCGAGTTAGATGGCTTATTGGATAAGATCTTTCCATTAAACTTTTTAATAGGTAGGGTGTGCTTGAGACAGTTGTTGCGACCTGTAAATACAACCTAGTAGAATGGACGATCGAGTTGTCTGAGGGAAACTTTGCAAGGGGCCCACACGAAAGACTCGCATACTTGAAGAAAAGAATGGTAATTACGAAAAAATAATGATGGAGCTGAAGATTAGGGACATAAGATACGTAAAAATCGTGCAATGGATATACGTGAATTCTTAATACTGCGCGTAAATTTGTACTGAAAAAATAGTAATTTAGCAGCTGAATAACTACCCTGTTTGTCTATGTTTTAAAAATCTATATTAAAAAAAATCATCCAAACGATCAACTATTGGGAGGTGACCGAGTACTGAGATGTGAACCTTATCTTATTTTTGTTTTTTAACAAAATTAATCCAAGAAATATTCACATAAATTTTATCAACAGGTACAAAATATAAATCTAACATGATGATCTTATTACTTCTTCAATGACTTAAGTACTTCTTGATTGCATATTTTATCAATATAATATCTGAATTTTGTAAACTTTTATGGAATAGCTTCAAAACACCGAATTTATCTTGAGATGGCAACATCAAGTGCAATACTATTTTTTTTTATGAAACAGCTATTTATTTAAAAAATTAATCGTACTCACTGTAATATATGAAGGTTAAGGAGTCAACACACGAAATTCTTTCAAAATGAAAGCCGGATTGTTATCCCTAAGTAAAGAAACGAGTAGGCTCCGTGATAAAAAATATTTCTTACTCTTTGACATTGATCCACTTGGAATGAGCATAATTAATTATCAAGTACATAGAGCTTTGGATTGGACCTAAAAAATCCGCATAAATACATACATTAGGAAAATCTGGCTATTCTTGGACGTGCATTTTAGCCTTTTATGGATCACTGTTATGTTATAAGCATAATTCACATCTTTTAGTTACGTTTTGAGTGTCTGTATCAATCCTAGGCAACCACACATACGGTTGGACTAGCGCTTTCATTTTGACTATACTCATATGTCCATCGTGTAATTTGGATAAAACCGTACCATGCAAGGATTTTGGTACAATTAATCGATAAACCCACAAAGTATTATTTTATGATTATTTTTATGAGTAATATGATTATTTTTTAATGACAATTCAGAGACTATGTTTTTAAAAACTTTTAACTCATCACTGACCATGTCTGTCCAACCAATTTAAACGTACTTACAAACACTTTTGAGCACTGGATAATCATTATATGTGGCTCGCAAATTATTCATGGACAAAAAATCAATTGTGTCTGAGACAAAAATTAAGTTTAAATAACCATCCCTGTTGCTATCAATTGAACTGGTCAAGTTAGGTATTGATAAATAACAATCAGCAAGTTTGTTGTTTTTCCCTTTAATATGTCAAATTTCAAATTTTAGCCCGATAAAAAAACTGCCCACCTTAGCAGACGGCTTGCAGAATATCTCACTAGTCCTCGAAAATGAAAACTAGAGGTTCATGATCCATGTTAAAAATGAAACAGAAATTAAACAGAAATTGCTGGAATCCGTTAACTGTCAATACAACGATGAGAATGTTTGGCCACAATCTCTGCCGTTAGCAGCGATGCGGCAGGAGAGCCATCATAGCGTCTCAAATACATATAGATTTTTTTTTTTTTTTTATATTAGAGTGCTCTACGTCCGGCTCCTTTATTAAGGGCACTACTATGGGCACTTAGCACTTTGGGAGAATGAAGGGATGAGGGGATGGGAGGCCTCCCATTACTGGGAGGGGGGTAGGGGGAAATAAGCAATTTATGCTGCGAGGAGGTCGCCTAAGCCCTCCTCGAGGAGCATTGCGTGGTAAAAAGTACATGTGAGAATCACAGAGGTACTTGCCCGAAAAAGTCGCACTATGGCCGGGAATCGAACCACGGTCTCCCGCGTGCCAATCCACGACCTAGCCGACCGAGCCACCGCGCGCTCAAATACATATAGATATAAAGAGCGCATGGTGGCTCAGTAGGCTAGGTCGTGGATTGGCACGCGGGAGACCTGTTGTTCGATTCCCGGCCAGTGCGACTTTTCGGGAAAGTACCTCTGTGATTTTTTCACTTGTGCTTTTTCACCCATGCAATGCTCCTCTAGGAGGGCTTAGGCGACCTTCTCACAGCAAAAGTACCTAATTTCCCCTTACCTCCCTCCCAGTAATGGGAGGCCTTCCATCCCTTTCCTAAGTGCTAAGTGCCCATAGTAGTGCCCTTATTAAAGGAGCCAGACGTGTAGAGCACTAAAATATATATATATAAAATTACAAATCTACCATTCTCGTACTGAAAATACTTGTGTACAGATACAAACGTAAGTAATGAAGCGTCAGGAAATTTAAAATAAATCAAACTAAAGGAAGTTCGATGTATGGTTCAATGACAGTTGTTCAATTAAAAGAAGAATTGTGAAAAAGAAATGCTATAAATAGTCTTAAAGGCAGAAAAAAAAATAACATTATAAAAAAATCTAAATGTAACAAAATGGCTACTAAACAACTGATGGAACCTGCAAATCCATATGGAGTGTTAAATGACTATGATTATGTACAACAGGATGTTAAGTACAAATTCATTAAAGAATTATTTTTGATAGAAGTGACAGATAATATTATCAAAGAAATCAAGATTAGTATTATTTATTTCTTAAAACATTTAAGCATTTCGTTGTAAACTGTATATTATTACATTAAGCATTTATCACTACACAATATAGACGAATCTGGTTCAAAAAAATCAGAGGGGTTGACGTGGTTTACACAAAGACCATGAAACTTTTTTGGGAGTAGTTTGGTTGACAAATGGCATCAAGCCACTTTTTTTTTTTTTTTAATTCTGTTTGTCAGAAATTTAGATCTTTTCAAATTGTTGCAATCTTACACAGCACATTTCATTCTAAATAAAAGATAAGTTACAACAATCGTGAGCATACAGTTGCAGCAGCAACTCTATATCTAAGTACATATTTGAGACGCCATGATGGCTCTTCTGCAGTGGAGCTGCTAGTGGCAGAGCTTGCCGCCAAACATTCTCATACTTTGGTAAGCGTTAGTGATTTAAATGCAACTGGCCTTTCAGAGTTATCAGTCATTGCGTGTAAAATAACAGCAGTAACACCGATTAGGAACGCATCGCACGTTATCTTAATTGGTGATTCAGAGTTAAAATGCGTCAACACTTCGTAGGACGCTAATCTACATTTTGCTTTGCTAAAAGCATTTTCACA